AAAAAAAAAAAAAACGTAGGCTTCTTTCCTAGAACCACTTAGGTAGCATAACAAGTTCATACGGCACAGCACAAAAAGGAACGAAATGATGGTGTTGGAAATACTCATTCCTGTCAATCTACTCATTCCTGTCATTCTTTCCTAATCCATTTATATTAGTAATTTTTACTTCTTTCCTAATCCATTTATATTAGTAATATTAGTAATTTTTACTCTTAGGATCATTTATTTCCTTTGCTATCATATTTCAAGGCCTCTTTGTCCTTAGCATCAGCTACTACACGATGATCCTTGACGACCCTATACCGCATATTTTAGCTTTTATATCTTTTTTAGATTTCTCCTATTTTAAGTCCACGCATTTGGAGCAGTTGCTTACCTAAATCGTCCTGCAAGCTTAAAAAAAAGCTGAAATCAACTAAAAGAATGCGCACCCATACTGTTGCTCGAATGGAATACGTCGCTTGATGTGAAGAAAAAGAACTATGGATTGCCCAGAACATATTTTTATTTGCGTGATGCTTCTGGATGTGCTGCAAGATTATCTATGAATGAGATTGCTGTGGATATGCCTGCTCCCCGATGCTTATTCCTGCCTCCACTTATAATAACCTGGCTAAAACATAATGCTCAAATCTTTCGGGCATTCACAGCTCGATCCTGAGTTACAGGCAAAACGGTTAGCGACGGCAGCTGGCACTCGTTGTCACTAATGATTTGGGGAGCACGATTACATGTCGATGTGGACAGCTATACAGTACTTTGGCTGGAAGGCAATGCTGTCCGCAATATAGCCAAGCAGCTGGCTTATTTTCATCTGTCAACGGTCGGGTGCTACCGCTCTGCTACTATCGCCTTCAGGTCATCGAATATTGTCGGCAACGTCACTTTGGATGCGTGTCACTTCCGGGAAAGGTGGCTTAATTCATTTTGTCACAAAATCCGCATTGACCAGGCCTCTCTATGACTAACTAGTAATATTCCCAATCATGTGTTTTTGGCGGGGAATATTTGGATGTATGAACGAGAAAAATGCGAAGCACAATTACTTTAAAAAGCGCCACACCTTGAATGAAGTAAAAAAGTTTTGTTCACATAAAAGCGGTTAAAAGTAATAGGAGCATAGCCTTAGCTTCGAAGTCGAGGAAGGCTCTCATCAACTTCTACAACCATCCAGCAAATACACCACTTCAATGAAAAAACACGTCCACGCCTTCTGGTGTTCGGTCTCGGCCATTTTTTTTATGCGTTTTACGCTGTGTAACAGCAGCACAAAATGCATATTGTCACGGGGTTGTGTGTGTGTATGTGTGTGCGTGTGTGTGTGTGTGTGTGTCCGAGATTTTCTCCCGTACTTTCAACTCGGAAACCACAAAAGCTAGGCGGCTGAAATTTTAGCAGAATGTTCTCCGCCAACGTGTGACCCCGCAAATTTAAATTCAGCCTTGCCGTATTCGCGAGTAATACGTATGGCCCCGTAAAGGTTTTTTTTTGGCGGGTAAAATTATTATTTCGGGGACCACGGAAGCTAGGGAGCTAAAATTTAGTATGTCTCCTGATCACGTGCGGCCCAGAAGATTTAAATCCAGTTTTCCCGTGCACTTGGATATCACGTACGGCCCCAAGAAAGTTTTGGCGGAAAAATTATCTTGGAAGCAACTAAAGCTAGGAGACTGAAATTTTGTGGGCATGCCCCCTGCCCACGCGCGATCCAGAGAGCTTAATTTCAATTACCCTATGCACGCGAGTAAAACGTGCGTCCCGTGAAATTTTTGGCGGGGAAGATTATTCTCGGGGACCATGAAAGCTAGAAAGCTGATATTTAACAAGAATGTTTCCTCCCCACCATAAGTGGATGCAGGGCGGACTCCTGGGGAGGGTGGGGAAGAGTAGGATTCCTGGGGGGGGAGAAGAGGTGAGGCGTAGGGAGAGCGGGCCTCTGGCGAGGCGACAGGAGATGGGAGAAGGGAAGCCTCCCCCACCTTGGAACTATGCAAAAAATCATTGGCAATGCGCACCGGACGGGCCCATGCGATCATGCGTTTTCGCAATATTTCGTGCTGTAATGATGCCGCTCGGAAACCGAGTAGCTAGATTTTAAGAGGATATTCTCCGTCCACCTAACTCTCACTGAGCTCAAACCCAGACCCCGGCTACGCGTGATGCTCACTACGGGCTTGTCAAAGTTTTTTCCGGGTAAGCTGCTAACTCTGGAAACTGAAAAGTTAGAAGGCTGTAATTTTAAGGAGATGTTTCCTGCTCATGTAAGTCTCAATGAGCTAAGACCCAGACACCGAGTGAGTGGTACCCATGTACGGGCCCGCCAAAGTTTTTTTTAGGTAATTTGCTAACTCGGAAACCAGAGGAGCTAGAAAACTAGAATTTTAAGGGGATGTTCCTCATCTAAATAGGTATTAATAAGTTCAAACCCAGCCCCTGGGTATGCGGTTTACCCACATACAGGCCCGTGAAATTTTTTTTCGGGAGGTCGCTAACTCGGGAACCTGAAGAGTTAGAAGACTGTAATTTTAAGGGAATGTTCCCCATCCATGTAGGTATTAACGAACTCAAATCTAGCTCCCGGGTATGAGTTATTCCCACCTATGGGCCTGTCAAAGTTTTTTTCGGGTAAGTTACTAACTGGTGAACCTGATTAGCTAGAAGACTGGAATTTTGATAGGATGTTTTCTGACAGTCCTGACGGCCAGTCTAAAATTCTTTTAGCTAGAAGCAAAAAAGTACCGTTAGCGACAAAAATCTGTGGGGAGCTATATAAAAAACGCATCTTCGCACGAGCAGCCCGTGCTTTGGCCAATTATTTATGAACAGACCCGGGCTTTTGCAACGCTAGTACCTGTGCCGCTGGGAGGACGAAAGACCCTTCGCCCTTTCTTCCCCTCCCCTGGATTCGCCTATGAACGCCGTAAATTCAACATCAGTTTTCAGTAAAACCTGGGTCTTAATTATGCCTTCGTGAAACTTCCGGCGGGAAAAAATTATTATCTCGGAAGCCGTAAAAGATAGCTGAAATTTTTGCGGGAATGCGCCTTGCAGAATTAAATCCAACTCCCATGTACGCTTGGTCTCATGTGCGACCCCGCAAAAGTTTTGGTGGGGAAAACTAAAATCTCGCGAACCAAAAGAGCTGTGAGGCTGAAATTTCAGGAGGTGTTTTTTTGCCTATGCTGGTACCTCACAAACTCAAACTTAGCTCCCAATTGTGCAGAGGATCTTACGTACGACCACGTAAGGATTTTGGATGCGAAAGTCACTAGCTCGAAAGCCGGAAAGCTAGAAGGTTGAAATTTGGAAGGATGTTCCCTATCCATGTTTCAAAATTCAGCTTTCATGTATTGGCACATGAAATTTTTGTTGGGCAGTTCCTCACCTTAGGAGCCAGACAGCATACCTACTATTTTCCCACATACGAAAGTGTAAAACAGTTTTAAGTAAGCAAACATCCCCTGGACGAAACTGCACAAAACGCATGATGGGTCTGATTGAAATTATTGCCAATCACTCAATTTTTGCCTTCCCTGCAGTCCCCTCGAAATCTGGTTTTTGGTGTGCAGGCTCTCTCTCTAGTAAAAGAAGTCGAGATGGTAAAAGAATGTGTAGTTAGGAAGGAGGCGTGAGCTACTTTTCGAGTTTTTTTTTAATGATAGTAATTTGTCTAGTGATTCCTTGCAGGTGTCTTCCAAATCCTTGTGAAAATGATGCTGTTTGTGAGCAAATATCACTGGATGACTTCAAATGCCACTGCCCCGATAGTTATTATGGAAAAAGATGCCATGCAAGTAAGTTGCTTCAAATCACATTGTTCGGTCAGATGCCACGTAATTTTGTGTTGGATTCATCTGCCTAACGATGTTAGTTTAGCTCGCAGGTATCGTTCATGTGAAGCGTTTTTCCTGGGAAATGCGCACATCCGACGTAAAAATATATCAATTGATTTGGACGGTGGCAATCATCTGGCGCCCCTTACCGTACAGTGTGAACAGAAGTTGGATGATCATGATGACGTAGGCATCACGACCGCGCTATTCCATCAGTTCGGAAAAAGTGGCATTATGGTTACTGGAGACAATGAACCGGGCTCTGTGAAGAAGTCACTGGATTACGGTGTGAGCACAGATCAACTGGATCGCTTCATTGAGGGATTTGAAAGCTGCGAGCAGGTCTGTCCTCCACTCCTTTTTCCTGAGAGATCATTTTATTTCATGTTTCATGTAGATTTGAGATGCACGTTGCTGTCATGTGTGCTAATGCAGAATGGTGACGTTGCAGTATATGAGGTATGAATGCCGAGGTGGCGCAAAGTTAATGAGCCATGGCTATGAGCGAAGACCGTCATCGTGGTACAGCACGCGGAACGGGCAGCACGGGCTGCAGTGGGCCGACGCGCCACCATATTCGAGGATGTGCTCCTGTGCTGCGAACTCATCTTGCATTCATAATAGGTTTTTATAGGTTTTTGCATGCATGCAAATGAAATCGCATTGATACGAGGCATTGTTTGTGTGTTTGTATGTTTGCGCACCTGTCGAAACAACTCAGTCCCATAAGCTAGGAAACTGAATGGAAGCTATGAAGTTGAAATTTTAGAAAAATTGCGCTCGACTTTATTCACATTCGAAAATGCAAATTAATTCACGTCTCGTTCTTGACTTACAACTTCAGACCCAAATCTAAGCCATTTTAAAATCTCGAACCCAAACCTAGGTCAGTTTTGTGACTCAAGAACTAAGGAAATAAACAGGAAACTTCGGAAAGAGTGATTTTTTATGATACAAGGCAAATGATTGAAAATTAGTTTTTAGTCCCAACTGCAGCCTGACTTATGACCTCAGGGCCGTATTCTGCCAGTTTTGTTGTGGAACCATGAGGGCTGCAACTTGCAAATTTTGAGGGACGCATTCCTTTTGTAGTTCGGCATAATTTGCTTGAAATTAGTTTCGAATCGTCAGAGTGAACTGATTTACAACCTCAAGTCCAAGTTCAAGCTAATTTTATGGCCTGATAACTAGTAAAGCTACGAGTTAAAAATTTTGAAAGACTTTCTCACGGAAGCTAACCAGTCAGAACCAAGGATAAACGAATAACAAGCACCGTTTTTGCAGAATGTGTAACTGTGATAGCGGTGAGGATAGCGTTGACGATGGATACAATCCTCACATGCAGTTGTTACCAGTGATGAATTTATTTCTCGGTGGCACAACATCAACGTCCTCAATAAATGTTACCATTGGTCCTCTTGTCTGCATCCATCGACGTGAGTTCCCATACACCGTACTTTTATTTCAGCAGGCTCCCTCAAAAAATCACTGCCATCTGCCAGCTGTGTGTAGACGATTCAGAAATGGCAGAATAAAAATCAAAAACTATTTCTTCTTCCTTGAAGCACGCTGAGTGTTCTTCGATCCAACGGAGGATAAGCTCATTTTGGGACCGTATGCCTATAAGCATTTCTAGCCAGTATTTTCTCTAAATTTAAATGTCAATAAATTCAAATATGCTAGCAATAATGCTAGCATTAATGCACTTTTCCCATGAAATTTTCCGAATTCGTGACAAATTCAGTTAAAAAAAAAAACATTTGAAACTGTGACATAAGCCCACTTTTTGTATTTTGCTATTGAAAAACAGCGAATTAAAAGTGCATGAGCATATAAAGCTGACTACGAAAGCTAGTTAATTTTTCTCCCCAACACACCTCCTTCCTGTTTCATTTTCCGACCTCTTTCAACACCTCCTTTCTACTTTCCTCCTTCTCTAGTCCTTTTCCTATCACACAAGCTTGCAATGAACTTTCATATATAGTGGTTTGGGGGCTACGCTGATGATTCCCACCCCACACCACACCACATACTGTCTGTGTTTGTAATTTAGGGATGAAACACAGAAAGCAAAATCTACATATTCATTTTCACATACTCACAACACATGTCTGTACCTTTGTTATAAAATAGGCACCTATATAACTATTTTTTCTCTTCCCCAACTTCTTCCCTCTTGTGTCCTTCTATCATTGGTCACTACTAGTCGCTACAATTACGGATTAATCATTACCTCTGTTCTCATCATTTTCCTTTAAAAAAACCCAATTCTCACCCCTCCCATTCAGCATCTTACATACACATGCAATTTTTGGTCATTTCCCCGTCAACAATTTGACTTAATTGCATTTAGCATGCTTCATTTCATGCAAGTAAACCAATTTTTTGGTACTCTTTATTCATGGTATGCATATGAGTATGCGCAGAGGCGTAATGCATATGCATAACTTAGACTTTCAAGTGCGTAAAAACCTGGACTGTTCATGCAGATGTATTCGATGGAATAACATTTCTGGACCGTGACGCTCGCTTAGTCGGTTCGCAGTCATTTCTTAGTTCCGCTCTGGATCTCGAGATGTTGATACGTATGTCACATTCTAAAATGACAATTTTTACATGGGAGTCACTAAATGGTCAACGCTGGTATCAGCTCTATGTTGCAGGTTAACTTACTGTTTTTTTTTTTTATGCGTTTTTACATCTTATTGTATCGGCCGAGCTGTTTTACGTCTATATCGCTCCGTTTGTTCTGTTTAGTGAAAAAAAGCTTGGGCATCAACTTTGACAAGAGTAGAATTCATAGCTAAATATCGATGCTTTTGGACTAAAGTGATTCTCTTGTCGACGTAGCTCCTCCTTTGCTAGTATACTTTCGAATGCTCGCACGCGGCGTTAAATCTAACCCAGGCTGGAACGCACCAGGCGGGCCGGTGCGATTATGCGTTTTTGCACTTTTCGTACCGTAACCCAGGCTGGAACGCACCAGGCGGGCCGGTGCGATTATGCGTTTTTGCACTTCTCGTGCCGTAGCAAGAACGCAAGAAGTCAGTGTAACTAACCCTGTGAAATACTGGCCCTCGAAGTTCGGAAGTTAATTGTTCAGCTATGTGGTGTGTCAGTTGTAGGTGTCGACTTCAGTGACCCGACAAATGGAAAGTTGCTGGTC